AAAAGCCGAATGCACATATATATGAGTCGGTGAACGAAATGCCCATGTGCCTATGCTACGAGAGAGGCCCGGGTTGACTTCGCCGGGCGGGCAAAATAAAAAATAATAATAATAATAAAAGTAAAAATTTGTTTTCTATATTACAATAGTTATTCTAAAATTGGTGAGGAATTTCAATGTCATCGTGAGGCAAAAGTTGTTCTGTTTATTTTTTTGCATAACATGTTGGCTTTCGGGGATTTCTTGGAGTTCGTGGTTTTTTTTTTTTTTTTTGTCTGTTTGTTTTTGTTTTTTGTTTTTTGCTGCGTAGCATGGCGAACGTTTTCGCGCCCCTTCATGTTTGCGCGAACGTGTTTGCGTGTTAGCGCGAACAGCTCGCGAATATAATCGGGCGAACTTAATTTTTTTCCGTAAAAAATCAAAATAAAAAAATAAAATAAATTTTGGTTTTTTATTCTTAACTCATGATAGGCTACGAATTTGAACATGACTGCAAGGCAAAAGTTGCGTGTAATATTATTTTACATAACATATTTTGTTTTCAGATTTTTCTGAGAACGTTTTTTTTTTTTTTTTTTTAATAATTTTTATGTTCGCGTTCGGGGGGTTTTGGGCGCTTGTTCGTGTTCGGGCGAACATGTTCGCGTTCGCCTCCGAACGCGAACACGGTGCTACGTAGGTTTTTTGTTTTTTTTTTGTTTTTGTTCTATTCTAGAACCATCCGTATTCCTGTCGGTACCCTGCTAATGTGCCAACCAATTTGAACATATGTTGTATTTTATGTTCAATCTCTTTATTGTTTTTTTCCTCAACTATTTTATTTTTTTCGTTTGTGTCATTTTCTCTTATTTTTTCCCCCGGTTTCAAAACGTACATATGCCCCGTCATCACTGTTGCCATGCTGTTTTTTTTTTTTTTTTCTTTGTTACGTACGTCAGCCCCGTTTCCATGCTTCGGTTCAGCCTCCTGATGAGTCGGAGAAACTCCTACGAAAGAGTTTGTCACAGCCCGTCGTTTGTTGTCCTCTTCTCTCTCTCTGCCAACGGTTTACCGGACACTTCTATTTGTGACGATATATATATATACAGAACGAGGCATTGTGTGAGAGGGCAATTCATTTTTTTTTGTGCAATTGTAATGACCAGTCATAACACAGACTGAGAACACTGCTGATTTCTGAAGTTTTGCTGGTGGAACGGATGCCTTGCTGAGATTCTCGCATTCTGCTGTGTTTCCTAAGTCTGTGTGCGTGCGTGGCTGTGGACTTGCGCGCCTGTCTAAGTGTTTATGTGCATGAGTGTGTGTGTGACCCGGAAGGGTACTTGCTCGTTTGGCAGGCCCGTAGGGCCGGTACTTACCTGTGGTCGTGGCATTGATGTGAGGAATGAGCCCTCGGAAGGGCGAAGGTGGTTCTTCGAAGGTGAAGGGCGTTGTGTGGGTTGTCGAGGGAGAGTGTGGGTGAAGAGAGGACGTACCTGGTGGAGAGGATGTCGGCATTGGTGTTGACGTCATCACTCGCTGGTCGTCAAGTTGTCCGGTTGCTTTCATGCTGTAGTCGTAGTGTTAGGCTGTAGTGTAGATAGGGCGCCTGGCGCCATTCATGAGAGAGACCTACATTGGGTTATGCTGTTGGTGTTGCCCGATTGGGCTTGGACATTGACTCACGATTCTGTTGTATCATTCTCAATTGGATGGTTACTTGGTTCCATTGTGCCATCTGCTCTGCCTTTGACTACATGGACATCAGTGTGATTTTGTAATCTGGATTTTTGTGCTTCGTCGATATTCATGTTCCTTGCATTGAGGGTAACAGCCAGGAAAACACTCGAGTGGTGAAGCTAGCGGCCCCGTGGCCCTTGGGGTAGCGGGAAAACACTCAAGTAGGCCGGTAGGCCGATACCGCACCCCGCTGCAGTTGGCATGCAGGGGTACTGGAGGCCGAGCAGAAGAAGACAAAGTTGGCATTTCTAGAGTCCAGTAGCGGCAGGGTAGGACTAGGCCGTTACCAGTCCAACCCGTCTGAGTCTAGAGCCTGTACGGGCAATATCAGGGCGATACGGGCAATATCAGGGTCTGCAATATCAGGGTGACACATGGCACATTGTAGATAGGAGTTCAAATTACTGGTTATGAGGTGGTGATCAAGGAAGGCCCCTGGTGGGGTAGGGTCGCATCAAGGAAGCTCGGGCAGAGTCTGGCACGGCGGAGCAGCAGGCAGCGACATAGCTGCTTTGTGTGGTCCTTCGGTCAGAGGAAGGGAGCAGCGCTATAGCTGCTTGTGTTGTCCTTTGGACATCGGGGCAAGGCCCCAGTAGTCCGCCATAGCCCCGGCATGTGGATGGAGGAAGAAGAAGGTGGCCATGGCTATGGTGGACCTCATGTTGAAGCTGCAGAAGAAGTGGGACTCGAACATTGATTCTGGTTCAGCTGTTCAACATTATTGTTGTTATTTATTGTTTGAATAAGATAGGAGGAGATAAAGAGGAGGAGGTTGTTGGGCGAAGGAGAAGAGCTTTGTCTTTGGTCTATTTTGGAGTACATCATCTTCTTCTTCTTTCTTACTTTTTCTTCTCCTTCTTTCCCTCTCTCTCCTCTCGAGTTCTCTCATTTCTCTTTGCAACTGGATGGTATTGGACTCAAGTTCATTCATTTCTTTTCGCAATTGGACAGCATTGTACTTCCCGATGATTGTGGATTGGCAATGGAATGATAGTTGATAAGCAAGCCATGTGCAAGCCTTGATGCCTCAAAGCTACCTGATAAACTGCCTTCTGAAGCAAAAGCCTACCATCGGTAAGTGACTCAAAAAAAGAAAAACAGACTGACAGACAGATTGAAACTGCAGACAGACTGACACGGACTGACAGACAGATAGAAACTGACCCGCGAACACACAGACAGAGACCCACAAACACACAGACGGACTGACAGACGGTTTACATTTCGAGAACAGACAGACGGATGGACAGACAGACCTGCTGACGGATCGATGTACAACCAAGGTTTCTGCATCGAGCACCGCTCCCACTCAAAGAGGAGCTCTACGACCTTGTGAGTCGAACGACCGACAGAACCCCCTCCTGACCTGCCCCACATCCTAACAGTGTGCAACAACAAAATCCTCAATGCCTAATAGTGTACACCAAAACTAAAAAGTCATGCCTCGACACCCTGCTGACCTGCTACAACCCCGTGTGAGGACCTGATCCAAGCATGGGCTAACAACTACCAACGAAACAAGCAATGAACAAAACTAAGCTGACGAAACATCCCCCTCTCCCTCGTCGACCTCTGCATCGCCCTCCGGCCCCTCCTCCTCCTCTCGCCCATCGAAATCGAGGTCACCTGACGAAGCAGACGTGCTCGAGCCCGAAAACGAAGCTGACGTGCTCGAGCCCGAAGACGAAGCCGACGTGCTCGAGCCCGAAGATGACGCTGGTGTGGGTGCTGTCGTCGTCAGTGCATCTGCTCTACGCCGTTTGGCGAGGCATTGCGCTATCCCCTCCTCACCCTCGCCCGTCGATGATGCTGGCGGCGGTGCCCGTTCGTGATCCCCTCTCCCACCTGCAGGTGTCCTCTGTGCCGATGCGCCACCTCCTCGAGCCCTGCCTCGTCCCTCCCCTCTCCCTCGTCTGGGCGGTCGACCTCTCCCTCGGCCTCGACCCGCCGCTCTCCCGCCCTCATGTCCAAGGGCACCACCTGCCTTCCGCTTGCGACCAACGAATGGTCGAAGTGGCTCGATGACAATCGACGGATCTCTGGGTGGGAGTGGCATCGTCGTCCGAGCAATGACCCCAGCATGTGAAATTGGATGGCGAAGACCCGTCCCCGGGGAGTCGCACTCCCGTACACCGCTGCTCTCTCCACCGGCCACCTGCGTATCCGTCACGGGAGCCCCATGCGGTCCCGCGCCTGCGATGTCCAATGCCAAGGAGGGATCCGGAGGTGGCAACGGGAGCGACGGGGAGGCGCGTGTGTGGCCAACATCCAATCGCTGGCGTGCGTGCATCCCCTGTTGAGGCGTGCCTCGTCTATCTCGCCCGGGATACCTCTCCAACGCCTCCCTGATCTCCTCTGCGGAGTGCCCGGCAGCCGCCAGGTCGTGGGCAAGCTCCTCTCTGTCTAAGCCTCCCTCACGAGGAGCAGCCCCCCCGGCAACAGGCTGTCCGCCGTCCCCGCCTCCAGCCTGCGCATCCGGGTCCTCTCATGGCAGATCCGACAACGGTCTCGGCAAGTATGCTGCCAAATATCTCTCTGCGTCCGGGTGGATGGCTGAAGCTGTCGACCAGTCTAGCGGACCGACGAAACCTGGTCATCGTCTGATCCTCCCCTCGCAGTCGCGCTCCACTGCACGATGGGGGCTCGAAAAGGTGGCAGGCGCAGGCGTTGTGTCGTCAGCGGCAGCGACGGGCATCGTGCCCTCGGCGTCCGCCGCCGTGCATGGAGATGGACCAGTCTCACCAACCGCACCTGACGCCGATGGCCGTGCACCGAGGGAAGGAAGATCGTGCATGTGCCTGGTGGGTGACGCCTGCCTAGCTCGAACGGCTCCAGGCGTGCCTGCCTCTCCCGCACGGGCAGACGCACAAACGGCCCTTGCTGCACGATTCCCTCCCTCGCTCGCATCGTCTGCATCGGTGCCACCCAATATGTCGTCTGCATCGTCCACACGCAGGCTGTGGGGCCTGCCTCCGGTGCGAGCGTGGTGGCAGGGATGCCTGAACAATCATCCGCCGCTCGTGGCGGGAGCACCCGACCCGTAGGGCTCACAGTCACAGGGTTCTCCTGTTCTAAGAACCCGTCTCCTCGATAAGGCTCCGTCAACCAGGAGACATCATCATCAATGACGTCCTCCCCCTGAACCGCCTCCCCGCCTTGGTGACGAATCTGGTGGGCCAGTGCTGTTGCAGCCCTCACCAAGCGTCTGCCCCTCGGCTGTCTCCTGAGGCGGTCGGCCTCCCTCTCGATCTCCGCTGGGTCGTATGTCCCAGGAGCCATCTCGTCCGGCTCGTAGCGAGCGAAGTCCTCAGCTCTCCTCTCGACGTCGGTCAATCCAACCCCGGGGAGACCAGCCCCGATAAACCCCTCGCGCGTGTGACTGCTCTTGAGAAGCTTGAGGTTCCAATGACAGAACACAAGCTTCTCCAACTGCTCAACGCCCCACCTGTTGCGCCTCTTCGTGTGAACGAAGTCGTGCGTCGACCAATTCCTCTCACACGGAGAGGCTGTGGTCCACGCACCCAAGCAGCGCATGGCAATGTCCCGCAACACCCGATGATTGGCCCCCTACACCCTCCACCACTGCACAGGATCGATGACGTGCTCCTCCACGCTCGCATCCCCAATGCACCCCCCCCATTGAGCAGGTGTGGGATACTTGTCGTGGAAGTCCTGTAGAGAACTCCACACGACTGTCATCAGCGGGCCCTGTCGACCACCCTCAATCTGGCTCCCAATGTACTCGAGCGCGCTCCTCTGTCGTCCCACGCATCAAAAGGTCGATGTTGCGGTACTTGGGGTGCAACAAGTATGCAGCACAATGAATGGGGGTCAAAAGCATATCCAACCTCTCCTTGACTATCTTCTTGATGGGCATGTGACAAGCCTCATCAAGCGACAGTCCGTCGACCGTGGCCCGCAGGCGCTCCAACAATCCCCGTACATCGCCGACTCTCCGCCCATCATAATCGACCTGCTGCAGGAGCTCGTAAATTGGCTCCATAATGGTGCACACAAGCTCCACCTGCTGGGAGCCACGGGGACGTCGCCCAGGCGACACCGCTCACACATGCATCCAAAGGCCGATGCAACGTCACCATGCGTTGCAGCATGATGTAGTTGGTCCCATACCGCGTCTCTCCCGACCGGATCAATGATACAGTGGGAGATTGTCGGCTCAAAAGGTACGCTGCCCGTGCATGGCGCCGGAAAAACAGTGTGATGTCTCGTCCCTCTGCAATCACCTGCGCCACCCACGGCTGTCTGGCGATGTGCGTCAGCATCAGATTGCAGCAGTAAGCTGCACAAGGAATCTATGTGATGCGGCGCAGTCGCTCATCGGGGTCGCCACGGAGCAAACGGTAAGCCTCCTTGTTGGCTAACGCGTTGTCCGTGCATATGGCGACCACATGCTCTGCACCGATCTCGAGGATGAGCTCCCTCCATCTGCGGCACAAACCTGCCCCGGTCCTCTCCCTGCCAAACATATCCTCCACCCGGTAGAGCGACGCCCCCAACCTCCCTGCGACCAAGTAGTTGCAGAGAGGGCGGTTGGCCTGAGTCGACCAACCGTCAGTCATGGAAGTGACCCCCTCAGACCACGACTCACGGTGATACCTCAAGCGCTCGTCGAGCTCTGCGTACAACATGGACAACAGAGTCGTCCACAGGAACTCGTACTGTGGCTGACGCGGCCTGTAGGGACCGCTAAACTGACTGAGATAGGCGTCATGAAGCGCCACATACCACTCCGATCTGGCGATGTTGAATGGCACACCACAGCCCACAAAGAATCGGATGTAGGCCATATCGAGGTCGTACTGAATGGGGTGTTGAACCCATTCATCCAGGCGAGTCTGAGTCAGGTGCGGCACTTGGTGACGAGCCTGTCTACCCTCCACAGGGGCAATCGCAAGCCCCTCCTCGAGGTCCGCAGGGACCTGAATGCCCTCATCTCTCGCCCGTTGTAGCATCCTTGACCTCCACCACTGCTGCTCGTCCTGTGGAGCGCGCGATGATCCGTCCGCCTCACGGCATGCCCTCGTGGGCCCGGCAGCACCGCTAGGATCACACACCCTCTTTCCCATTGGATCAAACTGTCTCGTCAGGGTGCCCTCTGCACCATCTCCCCTGCCCTCGGTGTGCACTCCCGACGAGCCCTCATCATGAGGGCCCACTCCTCTAGACGGGCCCGCTCCTCTGGAGGAGCCTACTCCATGTCGTCGTCCCTCTGCTGCCTGACCTGCTCGGTCCTGCCGTTGTGGCCCCCGTCCTCCGCGAGCCAAGTCGCGCACGGGGACCAGGAGGGGCTCTCGTACCGCGATGCCAGGCAATCTCCAGTTAAGGGGATGCTCAAAATTGATCTCACCATCCCTGTCTGCCTCCCTCACGTAGAAAGGGAGGGACCCCTTGAGTGCGACGCCCGCCCGCTGCAACTCCCTTATTATGTAAACACACGCGTGCGGACACCTGTCGTGCTCGCGTGAGGTATTGAAGTGTGAGCTTGCCTTGGTTTGGTTACCAACCCACCGGTGGCCACACAATCGACACCGCAACTCGCAATTGCCCTTCGGGTCTGCTCCCGTAGCGCTCACAAACACCTGCCCTTTCTGGACGTATTTCCAAATCACATCCTTCGCCTTCGAATCTTTCTCGAACTCCTCATTCGGTATGAACTCTGGCCTCCCTCCCCGCGCCATGTCGGCACACCCTCCTCGCCCACGCTAAAGACCATTGAAGCCTCTACCCAAACACGCAAAAAAGAGGATGGAAAGTGCTATCCGAGGTCGTATGCTCCCCCCAGTGGTGGATGAATCCAACCACAAGAAGTGTGAGAACAGACCTGTACGACAATCAAACAAGCAACAACCCAACAATAAATCACCCTATTGAACAGTCAATCAATCATTCGAACATTCAACCAACCGATCATCCAAGGTTGATTGATAGATTGCCTGATAGTCATCGGTTGATTGGTTGATTAGTTCATTGATTGCCTGACACACGACCTGATTGATTGTTTGATTGATCAATTGACCAATCGACTGATTGACCGATTGATTAACTGATTGATTGACTTACTGACCGATTGATTGACGGATTGATTCATTGATTGATTTACTGCTTGATTGGTTGATCGAATCACCGAAAGATCGATTGATCGATTGAAGGATTGATTGATTGATTGGCTGTATAAATGAGTGAACTTAGTCGTTGCCCGCCTCCAGCCATGGACGAACAGATCGTCATCTGTAGGTCCGAATCAAACAATCGATTTTCTTATATTGATTGATTGATTGATTGATTGATTGATTGATTGATTGATTGATTGATTGATTGGCTTAGTCGGGGATGGGGAGACCCCGACTTCCCGACTTCCCGACTTCCCTCCCCATCACCAGTTCCCTCCCCCGACGTCCAGATTTCCCTCCCCCAACTTCCATACTCCCCGAATTGCCTCCACCAACTTCAGTCACCCGACTTCCCTCCCCCGACTTCCCTGTCCCGATCCCTATCCTGATCACGACTTCCCGACTTCCCTCCCCATCCGACTTTCCATCCGACTTCCATTCCGCGTACTTCCCGACTCCCCTCCCCCGTCGTCCCTCCCCCGACTTCCCTTCCCTGACGTACCGACTTCCCTCCACCGACTTCCATACCCCGACTTCCCTGCCCCGGTCCCGACGTCCCTCCCCATCCCCACCGCTCTCCCCAACTTCCCGACTCCCGACTTCCCTCCCCATCCCGACTTCCCTCCCCTGACTTCCCTCCCCCGACTTCCCACCGACTTCCCTCCCCCGACTTCCTGTCGCTCTTCCCTGATCCCGACTTCCCGACTTCCCTCCCCCGACTTCCCACCGACTTCCCTCCCCATCCGACTTCCATTCCGCGTACTTCCCGACTCCTCTCCCCCGCCTTCCCTCCCCCGACTTCCCGACTCCCCAATTGCCTCCCCCGACTTCCCGACTTCCCCCCCCCTTTTATTTGTTTCTTGTGCCACTGGCCTACGCCTCTGCCCCTTCATGTCATTGACACGTCTGTAACGGAGGGGTAACGCAAGGTTCTTCTAGCAATTACTAGTATTACAGCATTTTTGCAGTGCTCCGTCTATATGCACGCAGGGCCAACGTGAGGTCGGAAAGGGGAGATGGGAGAGGGTGTGTGTGTGTCAGTTATGTGCACGGAGTTATGTGTACTACAACTATGGTAAGCATGATGCGAAAGGTGATATTGAGAAACTCGATGCGCACGTCCACGGGAATGAGAGGTCACTGGAAACCAAATAATGTGCAGATCTGGTTTAAGTGCAGATGCGTTTCCCGGCATATGGCTATGTGGAGTATAGACAATGATAATGCTCAATATTTTTGCCTGCATAGTTTCTCTCTCTCCTTTCTCTCTCTCTTTCTCTTTCTCTCTCTCTCTCTCTCTCTCTCTCTCTCTCTCTCTCTCTCTCTCTCTCTCTCTCTCTCTCTCTCTCTCTCTCT